TCTTCTGACTTTATACTTGAAATCCTATGTTTACATAAAATATCACTCAGCATGCAATCTGTCCAAAGCAGACGGTGCCTGTTTCCCTCCTCACCTGCTTCTGTTTTTCTAAAACATTTCCTGTTAAATAAAAGACATCTTTTCCTGACCCTTCAACAGAAGTCTTATATTTGGGGGATGGTGGAGAAGAGATGGTGATGGAATAAATGAGTAAGAGGAAAGGTAGAGTGAGTGAGAATGTGGAGCCATCAGCGTCACCTTCACCCCACCACACACACACACACACACACACACACACACACACACACAGTAAGGCTGGGTCACCCCATCTGGGGTCTTACCTTCTCCCCACAATCATTCTGAGTCTAGGGAATCCACCTTGCTCTCACTGCCCACCCTACCCCCAAGAGGAGAGACTAAGCGCAGTGATATATTGAAACTTAGCCTGTGATCTCAAGAGAGTCCTTAAAGAGAAACAACAGGGGCTTTGCTTGAGGTGCCACAGCAAGACCCCTTTCTTCTCTGCTCAGTCTTTGGAAAGATAATAAAAAAGTTCCTGAATTTGAAAAACAGCTCATCTTTATTGAACATCACGTAGGAAATCACACTTCAAATCAGTTGGCAGAGCAGTGCCCCCAAAGTGGATTCATCCTTGTTCACCAAATGTGTTTGGTTTACACATTTTGAAAAACTCATCTTGCTTGGAGATAGGTGATACAAGAATTTAAAGTTTATTGAAGATATTTCTACTTTATAACTTCACCAATTTAAAGGGGAAAGAAACATCCTGTGTTCGTGTCTCGTAGATAAGAAAACACAGAAGAGCGTAGGAAGCTAGAGCTTGTACCCCCAGGAGGAGGCTTCTGCAGAAGAGGGCACTCCATCCGTCAGCAGCAGCTAACAATAATTACTGGGTACTTACCGTTACCTCTCATAACTATCTTCAGGAATTAACCAAATGAATCCTCAAAACAATCCTATAAGATAAGTGCTATCCTTACCACCCTCATCTTACAAATGGGGAAACTGAGGCTTGGAGAGGTCAAGTAGCTGGCTCAAGGTTTCATATCTAGTAAGCAGCAGAGCTAAGATTTGAGCCCAAGCTCCAGACTCCATGCTTCTCACTACCACACTCCAGTGGCCTCCCACAGAACCACACAGCAAGCAAAATGTGACAAGGAGGTAAAAAAAAAAAAAAAAAAAAAAAAAAAAAAAAAAAAAAAAAGGAAATGGGAGAGAGGGAGAGAAAGCGAACACTTTTCATGATCATCATTTCATTCTTTAATTTGACTTCTACAGTCTTCCAGAGACAGCTAACCCACCACCAAAGTCCATCTGCCATTTTCCATGATATAGAGCTGTTTCTGGGAACTGGCTGAGCAGTCAGGGACTACATTTCCTGACCTTCCTTGGATCGAAGTGGGGTTGTGTGACCAGGTCTCTCCAATAAAATGTAAGCAGCAGGAATGTATGCCACTTCTGGGACATGACAGTTAAAAAGTAGGTGTGCCTTTTCCTGGTTTTGCTTTCTGGATGCAAAGGACTCTGAGCCCTGGACAACAGAGAAGCCACAGGCTCACAGTAGTTGAGTTCCTGAATGTCTTAATGGAAGGCTGTCCACCAGCCAGGAACACAACTCTGAATAACTGCATGAGTGAAACATAAACTTCTACTGTGTTAAGGCACTGAAATGTGGGGTTTGTATTTTGCAGCAGCTAGTATTACCATAACAGTAAGGCAGACAACCAGCGACTGTTCAAAGGCTCCCACCCCACTTGTCCTGTTCTGGATCTTTTTTGCTACATAACAAACTGTCCCCAGACAATGGCTGAACACAGCTCTGTGGGTCAGGAACTCAGGGCACCAGAGGGATAATTGGATCTACTCTATAATGTCTGGGGCCTCAGCTGGAAAGATTCAAAGGCTGGGGTGATTCGTGGTCAGGGTGTCATCCAGGGGCACCTTCAGACTTCATGGAGAACTGGCAGTTGATGTTGGATAACGTTGGGACCTCAGTTGGAGCTGTTGGCCAGAACATCTACATGTGGCCTCTTCCGTGTGCTTCTTTCTGCTGCTTCATGGTGACTGGGTTCCAGGAGCATCTCCCAAAGGCCCGGTGGAAACTATCACCTTTGATGGCATAGCATCTCTTCTCCTGAGTCACATATTCACTTAGAGTCTTGCAACTTGAGGAGTGTCAAGTCACATTGTAAGAGCACTGGGATGGGTGATATTCCTGTAATCATCTTGGAAATTAATCTGCCACGTTTTCTTTCCATATTTCTCTCCCGCTTTCCTTTTCTTCTTGCCCTGTGCTTCCTCCTCTTCTTGTCATTTTCCTTCCCCATTCCTTAGTTCTGTTCTGTTAACATTGATTGAGTATGTGCAATGAGACATGTCAGTAACACAGGTACTGGTAACACTTACTTCCTTTTCTGCATCCTGTTCTTTCCCAGGTATGGCCATCCCAGCTTAGAGACCGCTGCTAGATTGTAATGAGTGCTGCTTCTGGGGCTAGGTAGATCCAGGCTCACAGCCTTGGCTTGAGTCTCCTGTACTTCCATTTACTAGTTGAGTTGCATTCATTCATTCATTCATTCATTCATTAAAAATGTCAAAAATACAACAGAAAACAATACATAACCTTACTGAGCTCATGGTAAGGATATCGTAGGCAACCCAGGAGTCTCAGGTTCCTCCTAGGTAAATGGGGATATCTTGCAGAATGGTAGTGAGGATTAAAGTAAAATACACTGAATGGCCTGATTATTATCATCTCTGAACACCTAATAATCTAGCCACTCAGTGTATGTCCTATGTAATAAAAAGCTAATATATAAATTGTCCCCTTGACCAGGAGTTTGACCAGCAGGCAGGTTGGCCAGCCACCCATGGCCCCTCCCCCGGGCCAGGCTGGCCACACCCTACCCATGCGTGAACTTATGCACCGGGCATTCAGAGATCATAATAATCTGGCCACTCAGTGTATAAAAAGCATGTAATAGGTACTCAAAATGGTACCTACTAATTCATTGTAGAACTCTTTGCCATAGCAAAAGCCTGGAAAGAACCAAACTGTTTATCAATAAGGGACTGGTTGAAGAAACAATGGTACATCCGCAACATTGAGTAACGTACAACTGTAAAGAGGAAGCAGGAATATATGTATACAGTGCTATGGAGTGCTCCAATATACGTTGTTAAATAAAACAAGCAAGATGTGGGAGTGGGGTGGGGATGGGGTTAAATAATGAGCACGGGGATTTTTGTAGGGTTTAGAAACTATGCATTTTGCCAAAACTTATAGAACTTTACATTAGAAGTTTAATAGTACTTAAATTTTTAAAAATCATTTATGAGGTCAAGGGATCCCAGATAGAATGCAGACTTTGACAAAAGAATCTAACCATATGAAATAATCTATCTGAAAGGGGTGGGGAAAAGGTGCCAATCCTAAGTAACTGGAATTGAGTGAACTCTGTAAGACTGAAGTCAAAAGTGTAGAGGGCCGCCTGGGAAGGCACATGGGCAATTTTCCTTAATTATCGTCAGCTGAGCTCAAGGCGTAGGCAGAGCCACACCTTGGAAACATGTTTCCCCAAGATGGCAGACATGTTGTCAACCTGGCCTTCATATCAGCCCCGGTGTCAGCAGGGGAGGGACTAGATATGTAAATCCAGGCATGGGGCCTACTTAACATGCAAATAAGTTGGTGTTACTTCCTGGTATTGGGGTATAAAATAAATGCCTGGGAGGGGTTGTCATTGTCGTCTTCTTCCTGCCTCTCCAGCCAACAGGATGGCGGCCCACCCAGCTCCCAGCTTAAAATCTATCTCTGTGTCTTCTCTCTTTATTTCTAATATTTCTCAATCCCTGGTCGCCTCCACTTAGAATTGGTTCGTTCATCTCTTCCCGTGTGGGAGTCAGAAAAGGGAGATCCCTGCCATTCTGGCCCCCACCTCATCAGGCCTCCACACAAAAGCAGTCTACATCAGGCCTCCGCCATAAGCAGTCTATTCAGTTGTTAAAGATGTTTTCTGCAGGTGTACGAGGTAACAGTTATGAAGCCACTATACATGTATACTGGAAATGATAAGTAAATTAATGGCTGATAAAGAGAGCCACGTTTCTCACTCTTTGAGTGCAAGGTTACAGATAAGCAATAGGATGACTGAAATGATCCAAGTGGCAGCTGGCATTGCATTAGAGTTGTAATACGTCAGTATGCATATTTAGCTTACACATTGAAACAGATAGATGTATACAGTATATACGTATGTACTATGTATATATGTATGTGCTATTACATACATATAAATACATACATACATAAATATTCATAGGTATGTGGATATAGAGGGGTTACTATTCATTGACACATGCTTTCCTTGCACTGTCAGCTGAGAGAGCCTATATACAACAACGTTCCATTGCCAGCAAGTATACCTAGTGCCCAGATCTTGGTTTCTAATAGCATCTATATAATAAAAGCCTAAGCGACCGTTATGGTGGAATGACCAGAATGACCAGTTGCTATGATGTGCACTGACCACCAGTGCACTCTCATGGTTGATGTTTCTCTGAAATCATATATATATATATATATATATATATATATATATATATATATATATATATATATATATATATATATTTTTTTTTTTTCCCCTTAAGATTAAGGAAAGGTGAGAAGAGGTTCCAGTTCAGTACGGCTAGAACGGGGGGAGTTCTAGGAAGGGCGAGGAGGGTGCGCGTCCAGAGTTAGATGACCCAGCTCCCCCGCTGCACTCCAGACACACCTGCGGGAGCCGCCTTCCCCGCGCGCAGGCGCAGTGGCTCCGCCGGCGGCGGCGGGGCGGGCCTGGCGGGAGCTCGCGCCCATCGCGAGCGCAGAGCGATTGCTTCTGCCTGCGGGGCGGCCGTGTTGTCAGAGGAGCGGCGCGGCGGCCGGAACCCGCCGGGGGCTGGCGGCGTGCGGACGGCGGGCCGGGCCGAGGGCCATGGGCGACCCCGGCTCCCGGGCTCGGCGGGAGCGCCCCGGGGGCCGCAGCTGGTGCCTGCGGCGCGTGGGCATGGACGCCGAGTGGCTGCTGCTGGAGGACGGCAGCGAGGTGCGCGGGCCGCGGAAGGCGCCGGGGGATGAATGGGCAGCGGGGGGACGGCGGGAGGGCGCAGGGCTGAGGGGAGACGGGCGCGGTGCGTGCGGCGGAGGGAAGGTGCGGACCTGAGGGGGGAAGGGGCCTGAGGCGAGGCGGGAGCCCGGGCGGAGGAGCCGGGAGGAGCTGGGAGCCCGGGCGGAGGAGCCGGGAGGAGCTGGGAGCCCGGGCGGAGGAGCTGGGAGCCCGGGCGGAGGAGCCGGGAGGAGCTGGGAGCCCGGGCGGAGGAGCCAGGAGGAGCCGGGAGGCGGGTGCGGAGGACGGGAGGACCCGCTGGGTCTGGGGGAAGGAGCGGACTTAGGGGGGACCGGCAGCCCCAGTTTGGGTCGCGCGGAGCCCTGAGCGGGCGACGGGACCATGAGCCCAACTTGGCGGAGGGCGTGAACTTTCTCTAGTTTGTTTTGAAAATAGTTGCGAGTTTTTTGAGTCAAAATGCTCAAACTTTGTAGAAAAGCCTTCTCTTGTACCTCCTGACGGGGAGGGGCGCGCTTTTAACTCCTGAGGAGCCGGGCCTCGCTTCCCGCGTGAGGCTCGGTGCCGCGGAGCGGGACCCCTAGCGGGACCCCGGGCTGGGCCGGGACAGGGATCGGGGAGCGGCCGAAGCTGCCGGCGCCTTTCCCCTGGGCGGCCACAAATGCAAACTAAAGCCCCGGAGGGAGAGGGGAGGCAGTTTCTCCCGGAGGCCGTTTGGAATGCGGGGTTCTAAGGAGGAGGAGGGAGGAGGGAGGAGGGAGCCGGGCCGGGACTGGAAGCTTTGGGTCTTGGAAATGATTGGTATGAGAGACAAGTCCTTTCGTCATTCCGTTTGCATGTTGAATTAGATGTTCCTATCCACTGTGTAGTCCCAGTTCAGCCTCCCAGGTACTCACTGAGAACTTGCATTGCTTAGTGAGTTATCAGAGCCAGATAGCAGGGCCCTGCTCTCAGGGAGTCTGGCCGAATGGGGACCGAGGGTTTTACACACAGTGAAGCCGGCGGTGAACGCTGAGGCAGGCACGAACGATCGAGTGCCAACATGTGGATTGTGTAGTGCTGTGTTAGAGCGGTGGCTCCTCCGTGCAGAGGAGGGATTCGGGTCCAGCCTTAAGTGCTGCTAGGGTAGGGGTCTGAAAGGGTTACTTGTATGCTGTGCTTTGGAGAACATCGGAAGACACTCCTGCCCCCACATCCCTCTTCTCTCCGGGTGTCGATCCCCAAGAGTCCACATTCTTTTAGAGAATGCACGTTTACCTTTCCCTGCACTGCCCTTTCCAAAATCACGTGCCTTTGGGAAGTTCCACAAATGGAGATTTGTGAAAATGATGTGTATGAAAGACAAAGAAGTCGTTCATCATTACAAATATAGAATAAATAACTAATATAGAATAATAACTATATTTGCATAGGTTTGGGCTTTCAAATAATTACTTCATCTGAGCCCTAAAGTGCACTATGCCCCCTCATACAATTCTGTAAGGTACTTAGAGGTCAAGTGTTAACTCGTTTTTCAGATTAAATAGCTGTGGGTTAATTTATTACTTCTGAATAGCTTGGTAATACCAGGAGTCTGGATGAGGGGAGGTGAGAACAGAAAGAATTAAAACACCTTCAGCCAAGGCAAAAGACCTAAAAAGCATTCTTATACATATTTTAACCTGTTGGATAATTTTGTGTTGGGGTCGCTTCTCTGGGGAGAGTGAATGGAGAAAGCAGATAGGAGGATCAGTTTGTCTCTCAGTCCTGTGTGGTGGAGAGGCCTGCCAGGCCTGGATATATTCAAAGTTGGGTGTCTTAGGAAGTAGTTGGAGCATAGCCTGCAGCATGTGTGAAGAGAGGCCTGAGTGAAAGCCAGGAGGTGAAGTCTTATTGTAACAGTCCCAAACCATGGCACAGGCTGATGTGCACATGGCTTTAAGAGGTATGCTGATATCACTTAATTACAACAGCAGTGTAAGGTCAATTTCCTGTCTTCCTAGTTCACTTCACAGTCTCAGATTTCAAAGACTAAATGATAAAACAAGTTTCCTCTCATTTCACTTAGGGAATACTGTAGTATAGTGTCTGACTGGATCTATGTCTTTAAATTTCTTAAACCAGAGCATTTTTTGAAAAAACAAATTAGAGAGATTTATTGCAAATTATCTAGTTTCCTGGTCATATAAGTTTGTAGGCCTTTGGGGGAAATCATAGTATCTTCATTTTTCCCCTTGTTCTTTCTTCTCTTGTGCTTGATTTTCACAAACTTTTTTGCACTGAGAGGATTGGAAAAGTTAAAGGATGGTTCTAGAATACATGCTGGTCATCTGGGAAACAGGAGCCATTCCCAGGAGGAAAGTGATAGGGTTGGTAAAGGTGGGTAAGGACAGGATAATCCTGTAGACCAGTGATCTCAGTAAGCTCAAAGCTTTGCAAAACTGTTGTACAGCAAATAGAAACAGCCCCAACAAAGGAGTTGGTAGTTTGTTGGCGCCCAATTCCCACTGGAAGTTTAGTTTTGTGATAACAAATGATGCTGAGATATCCAGATAAGCTCACTTCAGGCTGCTGAGCCATGGTTTACTAATGTCAATTTGAGGGCCAGTGAAGAGAAGGACCAAAAAGAGTGTTTCTACCCTAGCTGGTTTAGCTCAGTGGATAGAGTGTTGCCTGTAGACCAACGAGTCCCAGGTTTGATTCTGGTCAGGGGCAGTACCTTGTACCTCAGTTGCAGGCTCCTCCCCTTCCTGGGCCCTGGTCAGGGTGCCCACAGAAGGCAACCAGTCCATGTTTCTCTCTGTCTTTCCCTCTCTCTGCCACTTTCTAAAAATCCATGGAAAAATATCTTCAGGTGAAGATTAAAAAGAAACAAAAAGTGTTTCCTTCCTTTTCTAGATCCAGAGTCTGTAGGAGGCAATTTCAGAAAAAGGGCACTCATTTCCCTTTTCTGTATAACTTTTTCCAGGCTACTTACAATGGCAATGTGGTTCTCCCCTCAAGTATTAAAATGGAATATGGACTACTCTCTTTTAGAAATAAAGCTTCCTAAATGGGAATTCTTATTGAATATGATTGATGATAAATCCTTAAATATTCAATTTTTAAAGGATATATACATATATTAATTCAGAGGAACTTCTATAATTAATGGATTTTAAAATATATATTTTTTATTGATTTCAGAGAGGAATGAGAGGGAGAGAGATGGAAACATCAATGATGAGAGAGTCATTAATCAGCTGCCTCCTGTTTGTCCCACACTGGAAATTGAGCCCACAACCCGAGAATGTCCCCCGACCAGGAATCAAACCATAACCTCCTGGTTCACAGGTCGATGCTCAGCCACTGAGCCACCACAGCCAGGCCAATTAATGGAATTTTTGACAAACTATCAGAGAACTGCAAAACTTTGGACTTAAGGTTTTGGTAGAAGTGGTCACCACAAAATATTTAAGGGCAACAAGTCAGATTTTAAGAGTTTCTGACTGCTTTTGCTCCATAGTTTCCAGTGGCTTAACCCAGTTTTCCAACTTCTGACCTAAAAAGCACCCATTTTAGAATCTGGGAGGACGCATAAGCAAGATCTCTTTATTACATTCATTCTCAGACATTTACTGAGCACCATGTCAGGTACAGAAATGCAGTGGTACCCAAGACAGATAAGGTCCCAGCTCATGAAATTTATATTGTAGTAAGAGGGAGATGGAAATGAATAAAACGAACAAGCTAGTTTTGGATTGTGATAAATGCATGCTAATAACATAAAGGAATGCAGTGGAGTAGGATGGAGGGGTGTAGGGAACAGGCAGCAGCTTTAGATAGTACCCTATTAGGATTTGCCTCTGGGGAGCTGAAAATCAAAGATAAGAAGGAGCACATATAAATGTCTGAGAGAAGAGTGTTCTAAGCAGAGCCGGACAAGTGGAAAGGTAGCAGGTGGAGGTGGATGTTTCTGATCATGGTATGAGATAAGACCAAAGAGGTGGAGGGGATTAGGACATTCAGAGCCACATGGGCTATGGAAGGAAGTTTGGAGACTTTTAAGGAAAGAGGAAATGATCTGATAGAAAGTTTTTACATTACACCAGCTGCTGTTTGAAGAATAAAGTTTAAGAGGTGTTGGAGACCCGGTATAAGCTGATAGATCCTTGCACTCGAAGGGACTGACAAGAATCAGTCCCTTCTCACGTAGTGTCCCCTGACTTGTTTTCATGTGACTTGTTTTGATGGCACTTTCCTATTGTCAGCAGAATGAGAATGAGAGTGACTTTTCATAGCTTAATCAGAAGTCTGTAAATATTTGGCTTCCTGCTTTATCTTAGAGATTAAGAAAAACAGTACATTCCTCTTTGTTGATCTCCCATTCAGTATTTGTGTATAAAAGGCATTACGCAGTTAATAAAAGTAGCTGCAGTTGCCGAAGCCAGTTTGGCTCAGTGGTAGAGCATCGGTCTGCGGACTGAAAGGTCCCGGGTTCGATTCTGGTCAAGGGCATGTACCTTGGTTGCGGGCGCATCCCCAGTGGGGGGTGTGCGAGAGGCAGCTGGTCGATGTTTCTCCCTCATCATGTTTCTAGCTCTCTATCTCTCTCCCTTCCTCTCTGTAAAAAATCAATAAAATTTATTTAAAAAAAAAAAAAAAAGCTGCAGTCGGTTGATGACTACCTGCAGACTCCTCCCCATCCTGCTCTCCTCTTTCTTTTCTCAATTCCCACCTCCCTACCTCAGCCCAGTTCAACCGACAGGCTCTGATCCCTGACAAAGATGACTAGTGTAAAAGTAAAAAACAGCATAACTGGAGGAAGCCAGGTTGTTTTGGCCATAGAGATAGAAGTGAAGAGATATAGGACATACTAAATTGCAACTACTAGAATTTGCTGATGATTTGAATGTGGGAATGAGGGACAAAAGAATCAAAGATAGCTCCTGAGCTTTGGGCTAAGCGATGATTGGGTGATAGTGTCAGTCACTGAGGTGAAAGTCTGTGGGGGGGAAAAAGATGGAACAAGGAAAGTCATTTGGTCTTTGAAGGGACTGAGGAGAACAGACATGATCCTGAAAGATTTTCAAAAGGAGCAAAGAGGGCAGCTTTTAGAAAACCACAGATCATTTAGTGTAATGTTCCCAGGTAAGGTTGTGGTATGGACCATTAAAGAGGTGGCTTGTGCTCCAAGAAGGATAAGCAGGAAATTCCAAGATCTTGGTCTCAGAAAAATTGCATTTTCTTCCTCAAAGGGTTATTGTGAACTAGACTAGTCCATCAGGAAAGTATGGTAGATGTCAATTGGGGCCTCTTTGCAAGCTTTTCCAGGGGCTCGCATGCTGTCCTGTGGATAAGATGGAAAGTATGGACTTGATGCAAAAACTGATTGAATTACAACTGGTTGAAGGGTATATCCAGAATGTGTGGTAGAATGTTTACTAGGGTGTTCCTGAGAGCTTTGTCTTTGGCTACGTCCTCATTCAATCTTCTATCTGTGTCTTTGGTGAGAGGAATATTGAGTTTATCTGATGGCAGATTAAAAATTCATAAAGGTCTTGATAAGCTCATGTGATAGGTTGAACTAACAAGATGAAGTTTAATAGGAATCAATGTAAGGTCCTTCACGTGAATCCAGATTTTCCAACTAGTCAAGAGATGTGACTTCACTTGCAATTCTTGGGGGATGGTCAGACCAATAAATATAATCATTCCTAAGCCTGAGGGTACATTGTGTGATAGATCTGTGATGAACACTAATGCAATTTATATGCTCCAGTGATGATATTTAGAACTTGGAAACTGATACTTGGATTCGACTGTGTAATAGAAATTAAGTTTATTTTTCTTATAATGGCATCTGGGAATAAAAACATATCATTAAGATAGCAAAGAGACTCAAATCTATACCATGAGAGTTAGGTTGAAGTAACTGGGAACATAGGGCCAACAAAAGAAGAGATTTGATAGGCACTATAGCTGTCGTGGGAGGGGAATTGGAGATTTTCTGATAGTGCCCATGGCAGAGCCAGGGCCAGTGGATGGAATTTATAATGAGAACGATGCCAAGTCTGAGCCATTAAAAAATTGGACAGATTGTCTTATATAGAGGCTGTAGTTCTTGGCAGTGTTTAAGACTAGGTGATGAGGGTGTATAGAAAGAATTTCTCCATCTCATGACTTTTCAGAGTCCTACCAGCCCTGACGTTCCATGAGTAAGTGCATTCAGCTGTCCTTCTTGTCACAGCTTCTTGCCTTTTTCTTCCCGGTGGCTCCCATGGCAGCTGAAGGAGGATAGCTCCTGAGCTGTGTGGGTTTCATGTCAGGACATGTGTACACCCTGGTTGACAAGATTGTCAAAAGGACCTCCCTTTTCAGCACAATGGTTGATGGTGTCTCATATTGTTGTTGTCTTCCTAGGTGACTTTAGGGAGAGGATTCGGTGTCACATACCAACTGGTATCAAAACTCTGCCCTCTGATGATTTCCCGAAACCACTGTGTTTTGAAGCAAAACACGGAGGGCCAGTGGACAATTATGGACAACAAGGTAACAGGAATCCATAGATGCCTAATGACTTTCATTGGCTTTTGTTCATTTTTAAATTGCTTTTTTTTTTTTGTACAGATAATACATGGTATAAAATTTAAAGATTCAGAAATATATCATCTCCCCTAACCACTCGGTTATCTTCCCCAGACATCCACTTCTGTATGCTGCCAGAGATTAGATTATGTCAGAGTAATTTCTAAGGTCTTGAAGTTAGTTACTCTGAAAGGAACACCTGAATTGCGGCAATAGGTTTGCTCCAGAAACTAGACTAAGTTATTGGGGAAATTGGCCCTTTGTTACTTGAAGAGAATCTAGTGAAGATTTTTGTTTGAATATTAACAAAAATTAGATGAAATTAAATGGTTCTGAAATGAATTCCTACATGTGGAGAGGATTATCCCCACACCATTAAGCCATGCTGGGACACCAGCCGGGTGTCCTACAATTCTGACACTATCTCCCTATCTCCCTGACCATGGCATCAAATCCCACAGGTACAGGGCTCAGCTCTACAAGCCCATCCTCCACTTTGGATTCCAATGGAGAGCCCAGGTTAACACCTGTTCTTCTGATCAACTAGCTCTAGATTAGAGGTTCCAAAGACCCCTTTCTTGGACTTCATATACCAGTTGAAAGTCCATGTTGTTACTTGTACTTCTGACCAGTTGGCTATAAGTCAGAGGTTCCCAAAACCTCCTTCCCTATGGATTCAATTAATTAGCTAGAGTGACTCACAGAAACATTTACTTACATTTACCAGTTTATTATCAAAGGATTAGAGGCTTGGTGTATGAAATTTGTGCATGGGTAGGATCCCTAGGCTTGGCCAGCAATCAGGGCCAATCAGGTTCCCTGCTCTCTGCCTATCCGCCGCCTCCTTCCCTTGCCACCTGCGTGCACCACTGTGTGGTTCCCTGCCTCCTTGCCTCCTCTTTCCCTTGATCCTTCAGTATCCTGCCGCCACTGCTGGTCACCACCATGTTCCACACCACCCCCTGGTGGTCAGTGCAAATCATAGTGAGTGATTGAGCACCTGGTCTAACTCCCGAGGGAACACTTTGCATTTAGCCTTTTATATACACAGATAGGAGGGTTGCCTGTTAATATGGCACAGTACCTATATCCTTCCACAACCACATCAACATTACAACTAAACTACAGAACAACCGCCTGAAATCTAGCTGGATGGAAGTCCTAAGATAGACAGAAGAAGCCACATCCAACTGTGGGGCTGGCTGGTCCCATACCTGTGTGTGGCAGATAAAAATCGGGAGGGATATTTCAGCCACAGAAGTCTCCCCTGAGGAGCAAAAGGTCCCAGTCCCATAACATGCCCCCAGTCCAGGATTCCAGTACCGGGAAGAAAAGTCCCCACAACTTCTGGCTGTAAAAACCAGCAGGCATTGTAAGTAAGTGACACAGAGGTTGCTGGAGTCCCAGGTAGCTCCTCTAAAAGGGACTATGCATGGATTTACTCAGACTCACCCGCTCTGAGCTCCAGCGCTGGGGCAGCAGCCTGAAAGGCACCAGGAACATAAGGGAGGAACTGAATTGTCATCAGGGCAAGAGCTGGAAGGGCAGCTTTCCCCAGACAGAAGTGCTGGCAGAGGCCTTTGTTCCTCTTCTGACCTCTATCTCAACCGAGCCATATCTGAGTCTCCATCAACTCACTATCACTGCTTTCCATCTCCCTTCCTGTCCTGTGGTTCCCCGAGACCCTGCCCCACCACCCAAACTCTTTTCGTTTCTTGGCTCATGCTTATGTTCTCAGCGTGGCCTCTCCTGGCACCTCCAAGCCTAGCACAAGTAGCAGCCATCTGCAAATCTCTTTGTAGCTCATGCTGAGTGGCCCCTGACCTTGACCTATACCTCCCAGGAAGCCCCAGAGCCAGTGTACCCAGTGGATAACTTCAGATCACCTCAAAGTACCTTTACAACAGCATACTCAAGGGGTGGACTCATTGAGCACCAGAACCCTGCTGAAATAAGTCCTGCTCTGAAGAGTAGGCCTCTGTACAGCTGATCTTCAGTGGTGGTCACAGCCAGTCCTTGCAGTCAATCAGCCTAGGGAAAAATCCCTCTCATTGATGTGCCAACAGTAATGAAGGCTTAACTACAACAGGAGGATGTAGTGCACCTGGAGTACCCACTTGTGTGAATACAGAAGCTGTGCCACTAGTTCCTATAGACACTTACTATATTAGGCCACTCTCCCAAGCCTGGGAGACATAGCACCTCTACCTAATACATAGAAACAAACACAGGGTGATTGCCAAAATGAGGAAACAAAGAAATAAGTTCCAAGTGAAAAAACAGAACAGAACTCCAGAAAAAGTACTAAGCAAAATGGAGACAAAGCAATCTGTTAGATGCAGAGTTCAAAACACTGGTTATAGGGGAGGATCAATGAACTTAGGGGAAGAGTAGAGGAACTTAAAGAGAGCTTTAAAAACGTAAGAAAGGACATGGAAACCATAAAAAGATCCAGTCATAAGTGAAGGGTGCACTAACTGAAATGAAGAATAATTTACAGGGAATCAACAGTAGAGTAAATGAAACGAAGAATCAAAACAGTGATTTGTTTTAGTTTTATTTTTAATGTATTTTTATTGATTTCAGAGAGGAAGGGAGGGGGAGAGAGAAGTAGAAACATCAATGATGAAAGAGAATCATTGATCAGCTGCCTCCTGCATGCCTCCTACTGGAGATTGAGTCCACAACCCAGGCATGTGTCCTTGACCAGAATCAAACCTAGGACCCTTCAGTCCACAGACCAGTGCTCTATCCACTGAGCCAAACCAGCCAGGGTGCAGTGATTTGTGATTCAGAAAACATCCAATCAGGGCAGCAAAAAGAAAAAAGAATCCAAAATAAATGAGGATAGTGTAAGGAGCTTCTTCAAACATATCAACATTCTCATCATGGGGGTGTCAGAAGGAGAAGAGAGAGAACAAGTTGAAAAGCTGTTTGAAAAAATAATGGCAGAAAATATCCCAACCTTTTGAAGGAAATAGACATACAAGTCTAGGAAGTGCAGAATCACAAACTGGATAAACCCAAAGAGGCCCACACCAAGACACATCATAATTAAAATATCAGAGGTTAAAAACAGAATTTTAAAGGCAGCAAAAGAAAAACAGTTACCTACAAGAGAGCTTCCATAGATTGTCAGCTGATTTCTTAACAGAAACTTTGCAGGCCAGAAGGAAATGGCAAGAAATATTAAAGTGATGAAAAGCAAGGACCTACAACCAAGATTACCCAACAAAACTAGCATTTAGAATTGGACATATAAAGAGCTTCCCAGAGAAGAAAAGGCTAAAGAAGTTCACCACCACCAAACTAGAAATGTTAAAGGGTCTTTCTTTAAGAAGAAAAAGAAAAAAAGATTAAAAATATGAACAGTTAAAGTGGTAATAAATAAATATATATATATATATATATATATATATATATATATACCTATCAACAATTGAATCTAAAAAATAATGAACAAGCAGAACAGAAATAGACTCATAGATACAGAGAACATTTTGATGGTTGCCAGATAGCAGGGTTGGGGGGATGGATGAAAGAAGTGGGGTTAAGAAGTACAAATAGATTTTTACAGAACAGTCACAGGGATATAAGGGAATATAGTAAGTAATGTTCTAACAACTGTATGGTGTCAGATGGGTACAGATTCATTGGAATGATCATCTGAAACTAATATAAATATTATTTGTCAACTGTAATTGAAAAATAAAAAGATTTTTTAAAAAAAGGTTTATTACTCCAGCCATGAAGACAGGAGAGAAGCAGTCCAGAGATGGAAGACGCTGACGTCACCTTGCCATACTGGCAGTCACTGCAGGTTGCTCAGGACCAAAGCAGAGAGGGTCGGACCTTCATTACCACCATTTGTCCACCATCCACAACTGAAATGTCATTGCTGACATGTACACATAAGGAACTGTTTGACATTGAAATTGGATCTCAAAAGAACAGTTGGCCCAGAAAGAAACTCACTACAGACTGATTCATTTGCCTTTCAGTATAATCATTATTGCTTGTCTCATTTTCGGTTCTTATAAGTATATTTCTGGTAGGACATGATCTCACTCATCTAGGGGAAATGGTGAACAACATAGACTGATGAACAAGAACAGACCCAGAGACAAGGAGGCATGGATCAGACTGTCGGACCTCAGAGGGAGAGTAGAAGAGGGTGGGATAAAGGGGAGAAATCAACCAAAGGACTTGTGTGCTTGCATGTGAGCCTAACCAGTGGTCAAGCACAACTGGGGGATTGGGGGGGTTGAGGGCATGTGTGGGAAGGGTGTGAGATAGGAATGGAGGAATGAGGACAAATATGTGATACCTTAATAAATTCAAAAAAGAAAAAAAAAGTTATGATAAGAGATATAGATGAATATCCATTTGGAAGAGTTGTGTAGGGCAAGGTGTGTGGGAAGGGGCCTGACCTTTCATGCCTGTCTGGGTACACCATTCTCACAGCACCTCCATGTGTTCACCAACCCTCAGAACCTGTTCTTTTTTTGGGTGTATGGGGGTAGAGTGTTAATGGAAGCTTCATTACACAGGTGTGATTGATTAAATCATTGGCCACTAGTTGATATCTTCAACCGCCAGCTCTTCCCTCCCCAGAGATCCAGGGGTGGGAATTAAAGTTCCAGCCTCCCTGGCAATCAGCCCTCATTCTTAGGTGATCTAGACAGTCCCAAAGTCACCTCATTAACATAACAAAAGACACCTTGATCTCTTATCACTGCTTAGGAAATTCCAAGCGTTTCAGAAGCTTTGTGCTAGAAATGGGGGTGAAGTCCAAATATATGCTGCTGCTTATAATTCACAGTATCACAGGTGTCCTGCAGACCTGCCCAGCAGCCTCCTTTTTCATGCATAAAACTGTTAGATTTAAGCTGTTGGAGAAAGTATCTTCCTGCACTGGGTTAAGTTGAGTTGGCACTGTGTTGAAGGAGAGGCTGCATAAATGC